TAATTACTCACTGAATTCAAGAGATCCCAGCATTGTTTTTTTAAAAGTAAATTGTACTGTTTGTTATTTATTATAAAAGTAATACATGTAGAATTATTTAGATATAAATCAACAAAAACTCCAAATTTAAAACTGCCTATAGTAATAATTAACAATTACTTATTTCTCAAAACAATACAATAAATTTGGAATTACTATTACCCCTATCTGGCAGATGAAAAAACTAAGGCTGAAATGTTAAGTACATCCTAAAACTCCCACAGCTGGTAAATGGCAGAGTGCACTTACCCACACCATACTGCTCCCATTATTCTTTCTCATTCAGTCTTTTCCCTATAATTAGGTAAATTATTTTCCTTGCAAAAATGTGATTGTACTATACATACTTTTTTGTAATGAGCCATTCTTTTCCCCACACACAATAAATCATGAGGGTCTTTGCAAAGCAAGATCTAGCCATGAGATATGCTCATCGAGCTACCAAAGTATCACTGCTTCTATGCCCTTTCAGTTGACAAAACTAGGATAAAACATTTTTTTTAATCAGGATTTTGTAGTGATAATCTCCAGTTCAAATTCAGTAACACAGAGTTCTCCCTCATAGTTCTCTAATCTATATATATATATATATATAATCTCCCTATATACGTGTATGTCTATATATGTGACTATGTATATATATGCTTATTTTTATAATTTTTAAAGCTATTATCATAAAGCTCATTCTTCAAAAAAAATTTAGAAAATTCATAAAAGTAAAAATAAAAGTGACCCATCAACCCACTACCCTGAGATCATGGTTGTTGTTCTGATGTAGCAAATTGGTGGCTTGTCTTCCTGGGTGCAGTGACTGTAATGTGAATGCAGGTGCGGAACTAACTACAGCTGGGAAACATAGTGCTTCCTGGAGATGCTGCAAGGAGACGTATTTTCCTCTCCCAGCACTTTCTTTCCTCTGATCCCCTCCAGCAAAGAGCCTATCAAAACTCTTTTTAGGGTCTTTAGAGTCTCCAAAATTGACACAAACATGAAGAACATAAGATACCGGGACAACATACTTTTATGGCCATTTTCTCCTTGAATGCCACTATGAGCTAGGTGAGATAGGACAGATGTTACTTTCTCCATTTGATGGATTAGGAAGCTCAACACATAAGAGATTTGCCCAAGACTAAATGATGACTGTTAATAGCAGAGGTGGCCTGGAACAGAGCTTCTGCTCACCCGAGCCATGAGCAAATTCCTGATGCTGCTGTCACCGTTTGCCTCTAGACTTTCTTCTTGTCCCCTTCCCTACTTCTTCCTTCTTTGATGACCTTATGTCTGATCTCATGGTTTAGGTGCATGATTACACATCTACATTTAGGAAGGTGCATCTTTCAGGGGACCACAGAGCTAGATGATGAGGATAATAGAGTAACAATAGTGATAATACAAATAATGAATAATTATTGACCGTTTAATATGTGCCAGACAAAAGAAATACTTTACAAGCCTCTGCGCATTTACTCTACAAAAACCCCATGAATCTGGTAAATGGAAAGACTGAGATTTGAACTTGGATCTTGCTGTCTTTAAAGCCTATTGTCAACCAAGATGCTATAGTACCCTCAAAGGGGAAATAAAAGAACATAGGAGCAGCGCCACTGAGCTCTTGGGATGCTACTTGTGTTTTTAACTGTTAAGACATAGGGCATGTCCATCTGACCACGATAAAACACAACAATCCTAAACTTTTAACTGGGCTTCAACACCCATAAGCCTCACAGAGGGAACCTCGTGAAGTGTTGACCTCCATGCCCTTCCTGCTGCAGTAATCCCTTTCTTACCCATTGCCTTGGCACAACCTCTTTTCTGACATGTGTTTATGCTTCTTTTCCTACAGGAGGAAATATAAGAAAACGTCCCAGAGGTAAGAGCATCTTTCTGAGAAAGGGGAACTTTCTGGGCTGTGCCTGGCTGAGTTGTCTGTGGCATAGCTCTTCACATGTCTGGCTCACGGTGGACTGGAACTGTAATAAACGGTCTCTTGGTTCCTTCTCTGCGAGTGGCCTGCTTTATCTTCCAACTGCTGCTGCTGCTGAAATTAAAAATTGATTGCAGCATCTAGTGAGCCACAGTAGGTGGACACCTTCACATGAGGGTGGAGCTTGTGGATTCAAAAGCTTGTTACTACTGTGATGTCTAGTGATTTCACTAAAACTGTCACTGGAGAGGGACTGGGCTGGCGGGGCTGAAAGTTTATAAGTGGGGAGAACAAAGGGGTTTTTAAATATACTTTTAGTGTCTGAATTCTCCCTTGCCTCAAATTCTCCTTTGCCTGATTAATTGACAAAATGCTCTTGAGCTTAAAGCATAGGTATACATTCCTTTAAGGGCAGTGGTAGTTTTTGGATTTGACTGTGGAAAGGGTAATTTAAAGTAGAATGCCATCTGTCATCCCCCTCCATGTCCCATGGAAAAGTGGATCTATAAAGATGAGTCCTGGCTCCGGGCTGTGCTTTGCAGGCTCTTTGGTGTGAGAAGCCATGAAGGGATCAGACACTTGCCCTGACCTGTGTGGCTATTAAACTTTAGACTTGCATACTTTGTATATATAGTTCAGAAATGACCTACCAGGTCTTTGAGTGCATGTCCTCCCAGCTCCATCGTGCAGCCCATTTTTCAGTGTGTATGCGATTTTGACTCCGCCATTAGAGTGCCCTTTCACAGGTGGTGTTTGCTTATTTGGAGGAGCAGCATGTATATTTGTGCGTGCACACAAGTTGTGAATATGGAGAGGGTGGGTGGACTCTAAATAATAGTATAATGAAACGAGCTTAGGAAATGTCATGTATTTCATAATGGGATTTATTCATTCATTCATGTTTTAAAAATTATGTATGTTTAAGATGTACAGCATGATATTTTGGGAAAATTTTTTAAAAAGTTTAATTAATTAATTAATTTTTTGGGTATCTGGCTTATGAACCGAACCCTTGACCTTGGTATTACAAGGCTATGCTTTAACCAACTGAGCTATCCGGCCAGCCCAACATGATGTTTTGATATACATACACATAGTTAAACAATTAATAGAGTCATGCAAATTAACATATCCATCACCTCACATAGTTCATTCCTTGGTTCACCTTGTATGCACTTTTTTTTTTTTAACGATAATCTGTTTTTATTAATTTAATTGGACAATAGGGGCTCATGAGGCCTCCCGTGACTTCCTGTAGTTCTCCATCAGCATCTCTTGTCATTTCCAACCTCCCTCTTTATTCTCTAAGCTTTACGGCTTTCCATCAAATTTGTGGTTCTAAGAGTTCAGATGATTGTGGATGCTTTCTTAGGAGGAGCTTTGGTAAACTTAGAGTAAATATATTTGTCTTGGGCTTATCTAAAGGTGCAGAACTCATGTGTGTCAGGGGGCTTTTCCTGAGTGAGGGGGACAAAGTGTATTAATTCCCAAGTTACCCAAGAGACCAGTCCAGCCACCAGGGAGTGGAAAGATATTGACCATCATGATAATGCACTGTGCTTTTTGAACACACTCTGCTGGCTCATTCTTCTGTGTCTTTGTGTCTGCCAGTCCTTCTTCCCCACCCGAGCCCTGGCCCGTCTCATGGTTTGTGTCCTTTGAGCTACATCTGCTTGTCTGTGTTCCTAGAGATGCCCTCACCTTTCTTGCTTTCTCCCTGCCTAACTGTGAGCATCTTGTATGTTATGCCTTCCGGTGTCTCCTGCATCTGCCTCAGTGCCTTGAACATAGTAGCCCCTTAGTAAATGCTGTTGGCTGAATGAGTGCTAACTGCTCTTCTTAGGGAATGAACCCTTTTTAAATTGATGTATTTTTCAGACTGTTAGTAATGGCACCAGGAGTGGTGCCACAGCTGTATCGTGCACAACTCAGTGTGTAGGCTTCCTGTTTTACATACCAGATTACACCATGGGAACCTTCCCAGGGCTTTTCCAGGAAAAGTCTGAATGAAATCTGGAGGGGAATGGCATGATCCCTTGAAAACCTGAACAAGAGCACCGTTTCTTATAGTTAATATACTTTTTTCATAAAAATAATGTTCCATCTTCAGCCACTCTGGGCTCAATGGCCTCTCATTAAGGAGAGGCATTGGGAATATACTTAATCTAAGTGCCAAAATACTGGAAAGCACATTCCAAAGAAATAAGGTTGCTTAGACTTTCTGTTCGCCAAGGATTTGAAGCCCACAATTCAGTCTAAAAGGCTGGTGTCTGCTTTTCATTGTATTGGACTTTGGTATTACAGATTTAGACAGATTGCATTCAGATAAAGAGAAATCACTAATGCAATGAAAATCTGCCAGTAAGTTTCAACAATGGCGTTTTTAGATGACAGCTTTAATCTCACCTTTTCTAATGAGCATCATCTCCTAGTGGAGACTCCCGTGTCCTATGGTTTCCAAATAAAGTCAATAGTCCAAAGGAGTGGTATTACAATTTATATGCGATGTGGAGGGCATGAGTCATTGAGATGAAAATGAACTAAAACTCTAAAGCTTCCTGGAGGTTGCTATACTTTTCTAAATATAGTGAGTTTATACAGATGGCTGAACAATTCTGTCTTGTTCAGGTTCATTGGACGCACGTAATTGCATGTGAACCACTGAGCAGGATGTAAATTAATCACTCAGATTAGAAGGTACAATAGCTTTCAGTAGTAAAAAGTAATTTATCATTTTCACATGTAGGTAACCTAGAGTGTGAGATGCTTCAAAGTTGCCTCAATTTTATTTTAAGGAGAGATAAATAGCCAAGTGAGAGGGAGTTTTACAAGAGAGCTGTTCAAACCTGTCAAGGTTCAAATTACAATGTCGATTTTTTTTGAAAGCATACTTTCATATATCTGACGTGAATGCTGTCACATTTTTTTTATGTCACTGTAATAAAAAAACCCAGACTGCCTTGCACCAGCTTTATTGAAGTCATTTAAAGTGCAAATAATAGATGATTGGTTTGAGTTCTTCTATTTTTAATCAGATACATATTTTCATATGAGATAGATCCATATTCTACTAATCTATCATTGAATAACAAAACCATTTGCAAATTAATGGCTTAATAACATCATTCTATATTGCTTACAATTTTATGGGTCAGGAAATTCAGGAAGGAATTGGCTGGTGATTTGAATCTGATCCACCTGGTGTCAGCTGGGGCTGCTGGGGATGGAGAATCCATTTCTAAGTTAGCGTCTCCACTTGCATGTCAGGACCCTGATGTTCCTTGTTGTTCTCTCTCTGTCCCTCTCCCCTACACATACTCTTCTCCCTTTCCCTCACATGGTTTTTATCCTCCAGGGTGTCTCCATGTAGCCTGGGATTCTACCTGCATTGTGGTCTCAGGGTAATTCTTTGATGGCTTCTTAGGCCAAGTGTTCTAAGAGACAGGAAGCAGAAGTTACTAGTCTCTTAAATATGGCCTGAAACTGGGTCCAGAAACTGGTACAGCCTCAATTCTGCTCTATCTTATTGGTCAAGCTGTCACTGAAACCACCCAGATTCAAGAGAAAAGGACATAGAGTATATCTCTTGATGACAGAAGTATTAAAGAATTTGTGACCTTCTTAAATCCATGTAGCAAACCTTCAGTCTTTTTGAGAATGATCCTGCTTGAGACCTTTTCTAGGGATATGTAGATTCAGTGTAATATGTGGATTCCTCATTTGATGAATGGTGGACAGTTTAAAATGTATGGTGACAGCCCCAGTTGGTGCTGGTCTGCTCAAATGTACACTTGCCTACTGATGATTCATTTGGACTGGGAGTAGCTGTGATTCCTTTTTCACATTAGGGACAGCATAGCAATGTGGACTCAACTGGTTAGTTGAATTCTAAGTGTAGTTATTTATCTTCAGTTAATAATTAGTTGAATAAAGCTGATGGCTTCATGAAGGCAAACATGTTATATTAAAAAGCTTTAGATTGCATAGGCTTGATTTGGACATCAAGGGGAAGACAGCCCAGGATACAAAGATAATCAACCTTTGTTTACACTTTTCTTGCTATGTTTCATTTCATTTCATTTCACTTATGTATTTATTTACCTTTTAAAGTCATGTTAAAGAAAAAAATACACCAGCTTTCAAAGTAATCATCGTCCTACTACAACTCAATGGAGGCAGTTATCTTTCTTTAAGTATTTCATAAGTACAAGTCAGGTCTTGGTAGGGAGTGTTTTGATGATAGTGGTTCTACTGAATCTCATTTTAGCATTAATGGAAATGTACTCATCTCTTCCAAAACTGTAATTTCTGCAGAAAGAGTGATGTTTTAAGTGTTCTTTACCGGCTATCAAGGGCACCAACTGGTAGGAGGGAAGCTTCTCTCTGCACAGAAAACCTTATTGGATTGGGCTTTAAATCAACATGATTAAGGGGAACCATCCTTTTGCCTTGTGACTGAGTCTTGTCCGTGAGGGCCAATCTTTCCAAGAGATTTGCTGAAGTGGTAAATTGGTGAGTTGACATCAGGTTGCTTTTAATACAACTTCAGCTTTAAGTTATCAGATCCGGCTCGGAGGCATTTGTATCTTTGAGAAAGTATGCCAGACCATGTACAAAATAATCATAAATACTTGGAAATAATCAAATACTTCTGGGCTGCCCTTGAAGAAAGGAATTGCTATCAGAGATGACATTGCAAACTGATTCTATGTTAGAAGTGCTTCTAATACACACACACACACAAACACACACACACACACGCCATTATTTCACTATGTTAGGGAAGGCTGTGGTTGGTCAGCATAATTCAGAGGTTCAGAGGCAGGGGCACAAATAAAGACGTCCACAAACCTGGGGGACCTCTGCAGACACACGTCCAGTTTTTCTATGCCTGTCCTATAGAGATACTTTGGCCAGGATGGTTAGAAGTTGGAGTTTTAAGCCAC